CAGCCCGGGCTGGGTGCCCGCTCGCCCTCCGCCACTTCACACTAGCCTTGTGTTTTTCTTTACAAGTTTCTCTCTTTTTTTTTTTTTAACTAGGAAGGGAGGGCTTTTGTTGTTTTGAGACAGGGTCTCATTCTGTAGCTCTGGCTGTCCAGGAATTCATTATGTAGACCGGGTTGACCTCAAATGTAATGATCCACCTGCCTCTACCTCTGGAGGTCTGGGATTAAAGGCATGCTCTGCTACACCTGGCTCTTTTTGTTTTGTTTTTGTTTTTAGATAGAGATTTGCTAGGTAGTCCAGGCTGGCCTCAGGCTTGTGGCGATCCTCCTGCCTCAGCCTCCTGAGTGCTGGAAATTACAAATACATGTCATCAAGCCCGGCAGTTTTCAACGCTTTAATGAGTTTGAACTCCTGAGATCGGCCACCTCTCAGATCTCGTAGGGATCCCATGTTCCTTCAGTGCAAACTCTAGCTTTCCCACTGATACCATACTGACTTTCAAACTCCATTTAAAACTTCTGAAAACCGAGTATCTGACTGTGGCAATTTTTACTCAGAAGTCCTCCAAGCCCATCCCACTGTCCCTCTACTTGGGGTGGGTGACCTATCTCCCTCTAGCCTTCGTCTCTCTGTACACCCCCCTCTCCGCTCACTTATCTCTTCTACTTTTTCGCACACGAAGCCTTGTCTAAAGTCCCTTCCTTTGGGGAAGTGTCATTTTATTTTTCTTAAGACAGGATTTCTCTGTGTAGCCCTGGCTGTCCTGGCACTCGCTCTGGAGACCAGGTTGGCATGGAACTTACAGAGATCCTCCAGCCTCTGCCTCCCGAGTGCTGGGATCAGAGGTGTGCACCACCACTGCTCAGTGGGAGTGTTATTTTTTTGAAAGTGTTTTATGTAGCCTAAACTGGCCTAGAATTTCTTTTTTTTTAAAGATTTTATTTATTTTTTTATTTATTCTGTATATAACATTCTGCTTCCATGTATATCTGCACACCAGAAGAGGGCACCAGATCTCATAACGGATGGTTGGGAGCCAGCATGGGGGTGCTGGGAATTGAACTCAGGAACTCTGGAAGAGCAGCTGGTGTTCTTAACCTCTGAGCCATCTCTCCAGCCCCTGGCCTAGAATTTCTAATCCTCCTGTTTCCACCTCCTGGTGGAATTTATTGTAGAGAATCTAATCCAGGCCTTTGCGAATGCCAGATAAGCATTCTATCCACCAGGCTACAATCCTGCCCCAGCTACAGTGGATTGAATCTCAGGACCTTCAGAATGTTACACAAGCAATGTACCTTTGAGTCACACCATCAGTGAGCCCAGCTCACTGGGGGAAGATTCTAGGCAAGCACACTGTGCCACAGAACTACTGATTTTTTAATTTCGAGACAAGGTCTTACCAAGTCGACCTGGCTGGCTTTGAACTTGTGGTCCTGCCCGAGTTCCTCCAGCATGTGTCAGGTGCTTTGTGGGGTTTCAAGGAAGGCTGCCTTTTTTTCATGTTGGGGTTAGCAATACCAGCAGAGAGCAAGGGCATGCATAAGCCAGGTGGTAAATATGGTGGCCCAGTGTGGGGGTTCTTACCTGGGAGAGACCCAGGTAGATGGACACTGTCTCTGAGATGTAGAGGAATTTTCCTTCCTGGTTCAAGGCGAACACGAAGCCATCCAGGGACTAGAATGGAGAGAAATGGAGCAGGTGTAGGAAGGGCCCCCTGCTTCTGAGATCTTGGTCTCCGTCTGGAGATGAGGGACTTCCATGACCCCAGGGAAGGGGCAGGAACAAGGGACCTTCGCCCCAGCGCTCCACAGGGGACAGGCACAGGAAAATGGGTGATATTCCCATATGCGACCACCAGATGACAGCGTGCACGGAGCAACGGGCTGGGTCGGGACCTCACCTGAAGGATATGTCCACCCAGGTGTTGTTCGAAGACTTCAGAGACCAGAGCCACAGGGCCTCGGCGGGCTGGGGCTGGAGATAGAGGGGAGAGGAAAACTCAGGTCCTGTGAGTCTGGCTCACTGCGTTCTGGGGCAGCTGTTAGGAACACAGTTGTCATCAAACACCCCAGGCACCATAGAGAACCCGATCACAGCTGTCTGTTCCCTATGGGGCAGAGGTAGCTGGGACAGAGAGACCAAGACTGAGTGACAGACCGTGAAGGGAGGGACATTTTTCACCCTCCCCCTTGACAGGGTTTCTCTGTGTAGACTGTCCTGGAACTCGTTGTGTAGACAAGTCTGGCCTCAAACTCTACAGAGACCTATCTGCCTCTGCCTCCCGAGTGCAGGGATTAAAGGGCACCACCACCTGGCTTCAGTCCATTCTTTTTTACACCAAAAAGGCCCTGAAGTACTGCTATTCCCAGGCCTATATTCTACAGGCAGTGTTGGTGACATGGAAGTTACCAGAAAACCACAGCCAATCCTCACTGGACCCTGAAGCCAGCTCCAATGAAGACTAAGTCAAGGCCACGCGCCGGTGGTGAAGGCCAATAATGCTAACTACCTGGCAGGCTGAACTCAAGGCTTGCCTGGGCTACAAATGAGACCCTATCTTAAAAACTAAAAGGGCTAACAACATAGCTAAGTGATAGAGCCCCTGCCTAGAATTCCCCAGTGAGGGGCTGGGGGTGTGGCTCAGTGGTAGAGCCCCTGCCTAGAATCCCCCAGTGAGGGGCTAGGGGCGTGGCTCAGTGGTCGAGCCCCTGCCTAGAATCCCCCAGTGAGGGGCTAGGGGCGTGGCTCAGTGGTCGAGCCCCTGCCTAGAATCCCCCAGTGAGGGGCTAGGGGCGTGGCTCAGTGGTCGAGCCCCTGCCTAGAATCCCCCAGTGAGGGGCTGGGGGCGTGGCTCAGTGGTAGAGCCCCTGCCTAGAATTCCCCAGTGAGGGGAGGGGGTGTGGCTCAGTGGTAGAGTGCTTGGCTAGCATTCATATGCCCCTGGGTTCAATCTTCTGCCCTGAAAAACAACAACGTAAGACAAAGAAAAACAAAAGAGTGGTTAGAGAAATTGGATTCTCTTACCCTTCAGGGTAGAATGTAAACTAGAGTAGCAGCTGAAGAAAACAGTTTGGTGATTCTTCAACAAATAAAAAAATTATGATGTAAACCTCTGGCAATCCCTTCACAACCCAGTGAACTGAAAATAGGTATTTGAGGAGTGCTGTACACACACTGAAAGAGCAGTACACACACACACACACACACACAAACACACACACACTACCCAAATGTCCATCCTCCAAGGGATGGATAAACAAATGTGGTATATCCATTCAGAGGGATATTATCTAACCATGAAGAGGAATGAAGCTTTGGTATGTGATGCAAGGTTTTGTTTTTTTAATTATTTATTTATTATGTACACAGTATTCTGCTTACATGTGTGCTTGGATGCCAGAAGAGGGCACCAGATCCCATTACAGATGGTTGTGAGCCACCATGTGGTTGCTGGGAATCAAACTCAGGACCTTTGGAAGAGCAAGCAGTGCTCTTAACCTCTGAGCCATCTCTCCAGCCCCGATGCAAGGGAACCCCCATGGCAACAGAAAGCAGGTCTGTGGTTGGCTGCTCCGTGCCTGTGGGAATCCTTTGGGAGTGAGGGAAATGATTGGATATAGGTGATGCTCTTGCAACACGGTCCCTGCAGTAAATGGTGTTGATTTTAATACTCTAAAACTGCCTTGTCAAGCCGGGCGTTGGTGGTGCACACCTTTAGTCCCAGCACTCGGGAGGCAGAGGCAGGCCGATCTCTGTGAGTTCCAGCCCAGCCTGGTCTACAAGAGCTAGTTCCATGACAGCCTCCAAAGTCACAGAGAAACCCTGTCTCGAAAGACAAACAAACAAGCAAACCCTGCCTTGTCTACACAGCAAGTTCCAGACCAGCCAGAGTACAGTGTGACCAGTGTGTGTGTGTGTGTGTGTGTGTGTGTGTGTGTGTGTGTTGTCTGAGTATGTATGCATCTGGGCATATGTGTGTGGGTGTGTATATGTGAGTGTGTGTGTCTGAGTGTGTGTGTGTTTGTGCAGAGATGCTTCAATGGTTAAGAGCTCTTGCTGAAGTTCTGTTCCACAGCTGCTCACAGCCCTCTGTCACCCCAGTCTCTGGGAATTTGATGCCATCTTCTGGCCTCTGTGGGCATTGCACACATATGGTACACAGACCGACATGCAGGTAAAACACCCACACATGTAGAAATCAATCAATAAAATTTTCAAATGTTGATGAAATGATTTAGTGGATAAAAGCCTGAGCTATCAAGTTTGGAGATATGAGTTGATCCCCAGAATCTGTGTGAGCGAATGAGACTTGATTCTTGCAAATTGTGAGCTCCACTCGTGTGCTGTGCCCTGCCTACATACTTATGCTCACATAATAAACAATATAAGTAAAAAAAAAGATAATTTTATCCTGGATAAATTTTGCATAACTTTTTTAGTTTGTTTAACATCGAATCTTAATAAACAGCCCAGGTTTGACCCAAATTTGCCATTCTCTTGTCTTAGTTTCCTGAGAACTAGACTGACAGGGATGCTCCTCCAGGCTGGAGTACAGTCTTTTCACTTTCTCTCTCTCTCTCTCTCTCTCTCTCTCTCTCTCTCTCTC